CACAGCAGGCTTCATCCCTAAAATATCCTGGAAGTTTCCAACCTGGAGTTGGCAACCCTATGTCCTTTCCAGGCAACCATCAGCCTACGTTTATCTGCCTGTCTGTCTTCAGGTTTACATCCCCCCCCCCAGCCTCTGCCTAGGGAAAGGGCAGTCTTTCCCTGCAGTGGGAACCAAAGCAGCTGACATCATTATCCTCTCCCCCGTATGATCCACACAACTACCCTATGAGGTATGTTAAGGTTGAAAGTGTGTGAATGGTCCATAATCCCCCAGGCAGCTTTTAAAACATGAACCTGGGACCTGCACACCATCTGTGGCAGTAATGGGGTGACTGCTGGCACCTTTTCCTATCTTTTTTTGCCTTGTGGTATTCTGCTTATGGTGTGATCTGTCTTCTTTGTGATGTGGCATGATTGTGTTATTGGGTCTGTTTCTTTTGAAGGGGAAGACATGTGTTGTGAGTGAGGACATATTTTACTTCAGAATACAGTAGGTTCCATATGCAACTGACAATTCCAACTGCCTTGCGGGGGGGGGAGTTTGAGGTGTGGAATGGAGTGAAGTCCAATCAGCTTCCATATGCAAAAGACCTTGAAACGTTGGGCGGGACTGCACAAAGCAGCCAGTCAACCCAGCCAGCGTCTTCTGACTGACAGTTCTTGCGGCCAAACACTAAAGGTGTGCATTTGGAACGTTGGAGCCTACTACGGCTTTATATATAAGGGAGAGATAATAACATTTGAAAAAGAAACTCTTTTACTTTTCAATCCTAAAGCACAAATTCCTCACCTCTACTCACCCCAGTTTAAGCTGAATGAAAATAAAAAATCAATAGATACCTTTGGAGCTTCAAGGAGTATTGATAATTTAGTATTATTGATTGGTGCTGGAAATGCAGAATTCCATTTGAAAAAGAAACTCTTTTACTTTTCAATCCTAAAGCTCAAATTCCTCATCTCTACGCACCCCCGTTTAAGCTGAATGAAAATAAAAAATCAATAGATACCTTTGGAGCTTCAAGGAGTATTGATAATTTAGTATTATTGATTGGTGCTGGAAATGCAGAATTCCTGGAAATATTATTTGGATCCATAATACAAGAAGCTGCACGCTGTCTATTTTCTCCCTTTAAAAAGGCACACACACACACACACACTAATCAATACAATAGAGCTATCCTAATTTTGAAACAGAAGAGAAACTGGTTCATAAAGGACACAGCTGCAAAAAACAAAAAACCCATAAAGGAATTAAGAAAGGTAAACTAGAGAGGTAGGAGTCATAAATAGAATAGTACAGAACACAGAAATATAATGAAATGCTGAGAGAATGGTAAAGAAACAATAAGCTAAACATATGGGCTAGATAAAAATTATGTTCTTACTGATTTTATTTCCTTTGCTTTGGCTTACTTTTAAGTTATGATATAAATAAAATCAGCCAAAAGCTGGATACATTTTAGTCTCATCATGATCCACTAGCCTGAGAACTTAGAAACATATTCTTAGTTGCTTTTTAATGCCATGTTTTAAACACTTGGGGGTTCAGCACGTGATCTAGCTGCACCCAATTCTTTCCAGTGTTCCCTCTAAGTTAAGTTAGTGTGAGCTAGCTCACAGTTTTTTAGGCTCTGGCTCAAACATTTTTGTCTTAGCTCAGGAAGGATGGCTCCAGAGCAAACTAATTTATGCAGCAGCCAAATCGCTCACTCACAACTTTAATGCCAGCAGCTCATAAAGTGGAATTTTCGCTCACAAGACTCCACAGCTTAGAGTTCTCAGGTCTCAGCTCATATTCTTTGTTTTAACTGTTTTAATTATTTATATCTTATATTGTTTTGTTATTTATAATTGCTGTTGTAATCCGCCCTGAGCCCAGTTGCAGGGAGGGTGGAATAAAAATTTGAATGAACTAATTAATATAGGATGTGGCCAGGGTCAGAATAAAATATTTATTCTGCTTTTTTTCATGGCAAAGCAGAATAATTGTTTAAAGTTTTACATCAGCAACGCTCCAATAATATTCATACTTTTATTCAAAAATATGGATAATTCCTCTTTATCCTACCCATCCTATGTTGCATCTTGTAGAAATTCCAGCTGTTGCTTCACAACAAGCAAATACCGATTGCAAGAATGATCTGAAGAAACGGTGACATCACCTCATGCTTGGCAATAAATATTAGTTTTCGTTGGGGCTTTTTTAAAAAAAAGAGGTGCCAGAACTCTCAAGAGGGAAATGAAGTTTTCAATCTGTATACTGAAAACTCATGAACTTTTAAACATTTTAAAAAGAATTTTGTCAAAGAGGTTCCGGAACTCTGTTCTGGCGCGTTCCCCCATGGGGAAAAAACCCAACAACCCTGGTTTTCTTTATAAAGTCTTTGTGCTTGTGCCTTGTAGACAGCACTGTTGTCAATAAATAGTTGTATAGTTCAAGCACACAGCATTCTTCTGCTGTACCCACAATACAATAACTCACATCTAAGAAGATGCTACATTTTATCATGTTAAGTGTTTTCTCGTCTTCTATAAGCAATGATACATTGAAGAACCTATAAGACATGCTCCTAAGTAGTAACAGTGGAGCTGAGCTTCAGGAAGGCAGCTTCCCTGTCTGCCCCTCTCCCACTACAATCTTCTGTGGCCTCCTCCCCAGTAGCATTCCTGCAGGTCAGTGGACACTCCAGGGAGAGTATGGGGGCAAAGTTGAAGCCTGCAGCTTCTTGGCAAAAATACTAGGGAAAAAATTGCAGCCCCTCCACTGCAAATGGAAATACTGCTCCATCAGAGGAACTCTTCTTGCATCAATAGAACAGCACCCTAGCATTCCAACCACAAAGTTGAAAGGTGTATCTGAAAAACGTCTAGTCCAACAACTGACAGCTTCTGTGTAGCGATATATATTATTTCAGTTCATTCAACTCTTGAACAGATTAACCCAAGTTACCACATGCCACAAGAGAAGAATAAGCAACAACAAGATCCCCTACACCAGAAGTCTTTGCAACATACACAATTCAATATATCAATTCAGGTGGATTAAAAAGTAGCTGTATATTATGGGTACAGGCTCTTTTAAATCATCAACTCAGACTTGTCAGTGAATCTTCCCTGGAGAGAAAAAAAGTTCTTAGTTATGAATATGGGGATAGGGGAGGATGCTGTTACCAACAGTGTCCTCTCAGTTAGCAGCACCTTTTTGCCTCTCATTATCTGAACAGGCCCAACAGGCTTGGTCATGTATGTCACTTGAAGGCTGCTTTCCCCACTTCATGAAGTCTTTGAGTGATTTTTGCTGCTATCTGCAGCCACTGTTTGATTGGTTTCTGCTGTGTCATCTTGTTTATATTGCTTCAATTTGTTTTTTAAATACTATATAAAATTGTACAGGAAGCTACTTTGAAAGACTCGCAGAAGTACTGAATGGGATAGAAATTTGGTATTGATTACATGCAAAAATGGAATCAGACCCTGTGCATAAGGGTACGAAAAACCACCACCAAGAGTCCTCCAAAAAATATTCTCATGTTCACATGCTATCTTCCATCTCCAGTTATAGCAACTTTGTATATCCGAGAAGAGGGGAAATAACTAGCAAAGAACCTAGGGACTATGTCTGCAGCCAGCTCCGCTTGGCACCAACAGCAAATTCTGTTCAAATTAAGCACTGGCTTTACTGAACTGGAAACATGTAAAGTATAACCAGGGGTCATTTTGTAGAAAAAGAGGTGCAGGAGCACATTAGCATAACTCATTAGCATAACTCATTTGCATATGCCACACCCCCTGACATCACCGGAAGTGTATCAGAAGGCAACACCCACCGCTCAGGCTCCACTGGACTGTTTTGGATTGCTAGCTATTGGTGGTGGTGGGGGGACATGCAGATCTGTCCTCACAGAGGAGAGTTTGTACCTGACTGTTTTGGACCAGAGGGCTGGGGGGGGGGCTCTGCAGCTTACCTGGCTGCTTCTTGCTCTGACTGAGGGCTGCTAGGAGCAGGGGGTGGGGCTTGTTGCATGTGCCCGCCCCCTGGGCTCTTTACTGCCAGAGCTCTGCTTCTGTGCGCTCCTGCAGGAAATGACCCTTGGGTATAACACAAAATAACAGCCCTTACCAGCAAAGGTTTACAGATTCCAAGATGAACATTCCCTGGAGGTGCAGATTTCAGCACTTCTACAGCCTCTGGAAGAGTGGAAGAGTGCAAACTTTTTTCATTTACAAAGACCAGACGATCACCAGGGAAAAGTTCACCCCCACGCTCAGCCACTCCATTTGGCACCAGGGAGCTGATCACAATTGCTGTCTGTGTTGGATCTAAGGGATCCTGTAAATGGCACAAAGAAAATAAGCATCAGACTTAAAAAAAAAAAGAACTAAAAATCTTTACAATAAATATAATTGGTTCAGATATAATGGCAAACCATGATTTGCTGCTACATGAACAAGCCTGGAGGCTTGTACGCTTCCTTCTCCCATTAGATGCAGCAAGGGAATTAGTTATTTGTGGCAAGGCATAGCTCACCACTACATCGAAAATGGCAGTTTATGGTTTAATTCTAGTTTGTAAGGACAACAGAAACCACAGTTCACCACTGCAGACGTATGAAGCATAGTCTACCACGAAGAGATAACAATTATCTCGTTGCATGAAAAGGAAAGTAGGAGAGAAATAAGGAGCAAAATGACACCAAGTATCTCTCAGGCTCATTCAAAGCAGAAGACTATTGTTTGTTTGGTCTTAGAAACACACCTCTATAACGGCCAATGGTTAAACGTTTCTTTATTGGAGCTTCTCACACACATTATTCACTTACAGAAGCCATTTGTAGGCAATTGCCTGTGATTAGAAAAGCCTGGCATATGCAAGAGCGCTACTGGCTACAGACTGAAGCACTGGGCTGCATCACTAGAGGCAGGAGTTGAGGATCTGCTTCCAAACAAATGAGTGACTAAAATTCCGCAGGGCCTGCAAAACGGAGCTCTTTCGCCAGGCCTTTGGAGCCACCACCGCCACCGCCACACCTACCACCACTGCTATTACAACTGCAATTATTGGTGGTACTATTAGTAACAACTGATTGGTGGAAGCCTTGAGCCACAGGTCCCTGTGACTATCGACTGGCCCATCTCATCCTCTCCTTTTTTTCGACAACTGAAGCGGACCAATAAAACGTAATGGCAACATTGGAAATGCTAGCACTTTATTATTGTTCTTTTAAATACTGTTTTATGTTATTGTATTATTTATTAATATGATTATTTGTGTTTTATGTATTATGGAAATGTTTATGCTGTTGTGAGCCGCCCTGAGCCAGGCTAGGCCGGAATGGGCAGGATAGAAATAAATAAATAAATAAATAAATAAATAAATAAAGTAGGGATTCATTGTCCCTACCCTTACATGACATGATCATACTACTGATTTTTTAAAAATGGGGGGGGGGGTATAAGTGGAAGGCTTAAGGCATAATAAGTAATGACACATAGTCATTTCCCAGAGCTTCACTGGAAAAAACACTGCTCTTTAAAACTATTATTTCAGTTTAAAAAGGGAGCCAAGAACTTAACAATATTCTGTTAGCTCTGAGGTTTATCAGCTGCTATAATATAAACAAATTAAACTGGCAAAGCCAAATTAAGCAGAAAAAAATAGCATTCAAATAACCAGCAAGTAAAATAAAGGCTTTATTTGCTATAGGTTATAATTACCCTGCCATTTTCAACCAGAGGGAGCTCTTGTACAGGAAGAGAAACCACATAATTGGAAGATCAATCAGTTCTCATTTCTGTACAGAGAAACAGCAATCTGAATAGCAGCATAACTTGCTAGAAAAATACTAATAATTAATTCATTTTCTGGTTGACCAATATGAGGTTCAGAGATTTTGGAATTCTTATGCTCTGAGGAATCACAAGACCAGGGTCACCAAATCTGAGTTGGGAAATTCCTTGAGATTTTGGGGTGGAGCCTGGGGAGGGCAGGGCTTGGGGCAGAAAGGACTTCAGCAGGGTATAATGCCATAGAGTTCATCTTCCAGAGCAGCCATTATCTCCAAGGGAGAAGGCCCTGACCTGGTTAGCCCAGGCTAGCCCGATCCCGTCATATCTTGGAAGCTAAGCAGGTTTGGTCTTGGCTAATATTTGGAAGGGTGACCTCCAAGGAATACCAGGGTTGTCACACAGAGGCAGGCAATGGCAAACCACCTCTGAAACAACTGTCACCTTAAAAAAACAAGTCTAGCTCACTACCTAATGGTGAATAATGGTAAAGAACTAGAACTTCTAGCTGTATAGAGGCATTCCGAAATGCGACAGAATCTGCAAATGCTCACTTAGAGAACCCGATACCTTAGATCATATTCTGCTACGCTGCCCCTTCCATTCACATCTCTGACTATTTTTGATTAAGCCCTTACTGAGTAGGATCAATTCTGATAATGCAATCAGGTTTCTCCTTGCTGATAAGACACTAGAAGTGACTACAGATTGCTGAATTTTTGTCTAAAATTTTGGTAGCAAGAAGTTATTCTTACTGGTGTGTTCTACAATTTATAGATGTAATTTTAGCTTGACGAAGTTCTTATCTTACTGATTTTATATGCCAATAAAGGTTTTTGTATGGTATTGTAACTTCTGTAAGACAATTTTAGGATCTCCTGGCTCTTCTACACAGAATGCCATATGATAATTAATTCTCCAAGCTGAGCCCTTGATGAGAGTGCAAAATAACATTTTTTCCTCCAGCATTTCTGAATTCGGGAGCAACATATTCTTCTGTCCCCTTTAAATCAAAGGGAACTAATCTCTGGAAAGCAGTTGTATTTCCAGGAAATCACCAAGTCCTACCTGGAGGTTGGCAACTCTTTTTCAAGATGGACTGCCATAGCACTCAGAAGAATAAGCAGTGCCAGTTCCTGATCAGGCCCTCATCACATTAAGTTTAGTTTTAGTTTTTTGGAGACAATTTGATTTTCTCTCTGCACCAAGACCAATAATTATGACAATGGGCTTTACTTTAATTATGTGTATCCTGCTTTCCCTCCATATAGAATGCCCACAATGACTAACATCAAGTGATAAAATGCATCAGGATAAAAATTCAAAGTGTCAAGGCCTGTGTACCACAGCAAAGAAACGCTGGCTCTGCATACAGGATTGCCAGCCTCCAGGTGAGGCCTGAAGATCCCCTAGAATTACATCTGATATCCAGACTAGAGAGATCAGATTCCCTGGAGAAAATGGTTGCTTCGGAAGATGGACTCTATGGCATTATACCCCACAGAGGTCCCTCCCCCCAAAAAAAACCCTGCCCTCCCCAGGTGCTACCCCCAAAATCTCCAGGAATATCCCAACCTGGAGTTGGCAAGCCTATTGTATATTAGGGATGGGCACAAACCAGAAAAATGTGGTTCATGTCAGTTCGTGGCCCAACCACAAACAGAACCAAAAGGTTTGTTCACAAACTGAACCTGTCCATGCCCCCACAAACTCCACTGAAAGGGACTGCAGTCCCTTTAAATGGGGTTTGCAGGAAGCCCAAAAAACAGCTGAGCAGTGGAAAGCAGCCTGCTCCCCACCACTCAGCTGTTTTGCTTTCTTGTGCAGTCTCTTTAAAGGGACTGCACAAGAAAGCCCAAAAAACAGCTGAACAGTGGGGAGGTGCTCCCCACTGCTGGGCTGTTTTTGCGGGGAACAGAAAGCACGGGTTTTCTGCTCTATTCACAAACCACAACAAACTGCTTTAAAAGTTTGTGGAAGTTTGTGATAGCATACCCATTATGAACCTCAGTTCACGAACCATGAACAGGGCAAAATTCATGACAAATTTTCCTCCATGGTTTGGTTCATGCCCATCCTTACTATATACCCACTTATCACACTTCAGATGGTAAGGGGGCATAGGCTAATATATATTCACAATGAGGGCATCTGCACACTATTTCCTCTTTTTCTCCTCCTGTGTGTGTGTTGTGCTGTCAAGTCACTTCAGACTTATGGTGACCTTATGAATCAAAGACCTCCAAAATGTACTGCTGTTAACAGTCTTGCTCAGGTCTTGCAAACTGTGGGTCAGGGCTTCCTTTAATGAGTCAATCCATCTCATATTGGGTCTTTCTCTTTTCCTGCTGCCTTCAACTTTTCCTAGCACTACTGTGTTTTCCAGTGACTCTTGTCTTCTTATTATGTGGCCAAAGTATGATAGCTTCAGTTTAGTCATGTTAGCTTCTATGGAGAGTTCAGTCTTGATTTGATCTAGAACTCAGTTATTTGTCGTTTTAGGCAGTCCACAGTATCCATAAAACTGTACTCCAACACCGCATTTCAAAGGAATCAATTTTCTTCCTGACAGCTTTTTTTCATGTATGTTCTCTCACACATTATTTCTAGATAAAAGTGTTAAGTGGCACACACCATGTTTGCCTGTGTGTTTCAGCTTATTTATCTGATTTCGTTAGCTGATGAAAATTTTTACATGATATACCAGCACCAATCAAGTGCAAGAGAACCATAACAATGAAGGATGGATTTATCAGATTCAAAGGGTGTGAGTTTCCGGTTTTGGCGACTCGCTGTGTGGGTGTGCTCCATCACAGCTCTGATGTGAGCACCCCACAAACGTGCTGATGGGGGGGGGGGTCCAAGTTGATCTTGGACCCCCAGACCCCTTGTAGGCGGGTCTCAGCCTGGGGCGTGAGAGGTGCCTCTCCCAAAGTGGACGCCAAAGGATTGAGGCACTTTTTTGCCCCAATAGGCCCCCACAGCACAAAGCCAACATGGCACTAAGAGGCGCACACCGGACAGAGCGTATAAGGATCCTGAGAAACGATCCTCTCTGCATACCTAGTGAATGCAAGTACAAACGTGAGTGAAGCTATGATACAGCAAACAATCAATAAATTGTTACTAGTAAAGCCGCCCCAAAGCCCCAAATAAGTGGAAGGGGGAGGGGAATGCCTGATCCTGAAATGACTGAGTTTAAAACGGGAAGCTGAAAGGGTGGCTCGAAGGAAGCGGATTGCGACAAAGTGTGCGGCGGATCACCAAGAAAGTGATCAATTCCAGATTCACAGAGAACTTTTAAACTTTTCTCCTGTATAAACAATGATGCAGCGGGAGAAAAAATGGCGTAAAATACAAATTGCCAGCACAGCATTGACAGTCACTAGATCGGAAGTAACCACAGACTTTCCCAAACTGATTGCTGTAGCTTTGCGCCCTCTACTGGACCAGATGACCAACCTTAACGTCAAGCAGGAGATGTTGCGAAAAAGAAACAAAGCGGATGTTCCTGAAGCAACAACAGAAAGCAGAAGATGGACTTGA